ATAAAAATATTTACGCTGTCTTTCGAATCGACGAATTTCGTGGACTGAGCAAAAACAGGCTTGTAAGACAGAGCGAAAAACTCCAGCAGACAATTCAACACGGAGGGCAAAGCTGAGCGCAGACGACTGACAGGCAGCGACGACTCCTAAAATTGTAATAAGCTTACATTAAATAATCAAAGCTATAGCAGAATGCCCATTAATCTGATCAGAACGAGATAATTAAAAAGATTTTATAAACAAGATTTTGAGGGGGTAAACTCTAACACACCCGATCCTGACAATGATTCCCTGAAAGATGAAGCGATCTTTGCTTATGTCATGCCAACAGAGGAGCATAAGAAAACAAAGCACCAGAAAACGATTAATAAATAATATAAGAAAGAGTCAGATGCAGATTTCGAAATGCCTGGATATCATAATGGCATGGCAATTGACAGGAAGGGATGATCAAGTTCAACAGCGTCATTTAAACGGCTGACACGATTTAGGTTAAGAAAAAACGATAAGTTAAACCAGCCATCGGCCAGAGAGCTTTTGGCTATAATGAAAAAATTCAATTAAATTAAAAAATGAATTAAATTTTTCACTTATTACACTACATTTTAAATTAGGCACATCTGCACGTATTAGAAAATAAATTCTATATCTTTCTCAAAGGGGCTATTAATCACTTAGTTCTTCATGTTAAATCAAATACTTCTTATATTTAATAAATTCTGTTGCATGTTGGCAGCTTATTTAAATATTTTAAACCAAATTACTCGCTTACTTAATAAATTTTATATTTCAATTTTAGCACGTTGCATAATATAATCTTTGTTGTTGTATTTTTGATTTTCTGCAAAAGTGAAGGCGCAAAGGTGATGCAGGAGCTTGCTTATGTAGTTTGAAGCTTTGATGACGTTAATAATACGAGTTAATGACCAGAGCTTTTCAAAATGCTCCACTTCTCTGAATCCACTGGGTTGGATACGAGTAATGTAGTCATCGGCGATAGTTCACGGAGATGGCACCATAAATCGAGTACTGAAAAGCCACTTACCAAAAAAGCTCAAGAAGATATAATAATAGAGAAGTCTGGAGCGCCAACAACGAGAAAAAGTCAGAGAGGATATAAAATATTTGTCACGATTGTGCAGAACTGTTGAAACACTGAATTCTTCTCAGGTTGCCCTAGTAATTAAATTTAAATTAAATAAACTGGTGTTTGACTAGCGCGTAAATTTAGAAATCTGCGAGTAATTTATGAAAAGCAATATACAGATTTGGCATCTAGAACCATTATTATTTTGGACAAATTTGCTCAATTTGTGAGTTAGGACAATGGAAACCATGAAGAACGTTGGAAATCCATTGCGCTTTATGCTTTTCTACCTTATCACTGACGCCAGCATTGGATTAACTATGTCACAGTACTGTTACATAGAATTTTAGCAGTGCCGTGTTCAATCATCCGGATTTTTCGATTATCTGGGCCATATGCATTTATGTATGCATTGTGCTTGACAGAAGAAATTACACTGATTTCTCATTTCTGTAGTTATCCTGTGAATACATCCTCGTTCAAATGATAAACGACAAGCTAGCAATCAACCATAACGGCAATAAATTAATGCACAAATTTAGGGAATCAAGAAGCTGTGATCACTTAAAGAGTTAACATATAAAACTGTTATCATGAATTTGCAAAAGTTCTGTGTGACCAGAGCTAGACGACATATTGCCAAACTCTGCAAAAACAGCGACTCAATACCAGCTTATCAACCAGGCACGATGAAACACATTGGAATCATCTTCTTTTATGATAATTTGCAAATAATTATTAATAGGATAATTCATAAAACCCCATTGCAAGAACAAACTACTGAATATCCACATCTTTCAAACGATATTCAACTGAACTGGATCTCTCAAAATGGAATTAAACGCTGCCTTCGCATATTTAACAGAATCACACATATGTATCATGCTGTGACATGCAAAAAGGTGCATGGGACGATGCGACAAAACATACGAAGTAACAGAGGGAAACATACGAGAGTCGAAGTATGTAGCTGTGCATGCGACTGCCTGTGCAGCTAATCTTCTCTCAGTCAGTCCAGCTAAAGCTGAACGGATATGTATAATTATATGCAGCTTGAGTCATGATCGTGTGGTTGGTCGCCTATTCGAGCACCAGCGCATGGTATGAGTTAGAAGTACAGCACAGAGGAGAGAAATAAAACATCATTGACCTGGGTACTTTGTCGTTGACCCTGACACCCTAGATGATGATAACAACAACAACACAGTGGACGTATGGGGTCTCTTGCAACACAAATTGAAAATTTGCAAAAAAGACAACGTGTGAGAGATCAGTTGCCCAATCCCGCTATGTGAAGAAAAGATGGGAACGATTTAGTTGTACGGCCATTTACACGAAGTGGAAACAACTAGGAATTTTTCTGTAAGGAGCTGCTGCAAGAACGCTATACTACTCAACCGTAGAGATGTGTTGGGGAAAGACAGAGAATGTTACATCAGTAACGGCACGATATTAATCATGCAAAACTGGTTCAAAGTCGAAAACAGAGAATGCAAACTACCTGATAAAAAAGCTGAACGCAACTCAGCGCCGTTTCCTGCGTGCGAGCGACGTCAGGCAGAGGGGAAGCTATGAGCGGCGATGCCTCGTCGTCGATTAACGGCAAGGCTATGGCTGTCTGAAACAAGCTCATAACCCGAAAAACGTCAGACATGTCCATGACGGCGCGACAGTGCTTGAAAATTTTCGTGAACAGCACCAGCAACAGGTTGAAATATTCAGACGTCAGGGATGACATATGAGGGTTGTTTGAGAAGGTCGACGCTTGGTCGTCGTCAGAAATTGTCGAAGAAACCGCTATTCGCAACCATACCTAAAATCAGTCAGGTCACGAAGTTTCCTAACAGGCAAAATAGTTTCATCTGCACGCAAACACTCGTTTTGATGGGTTTAATGAGTTGACAACTTATACATCGCGGATCAACAATCCGATAGGTCAACCACATTTGTGTTTGTGCGTATCTTGCATGATCATCAACCTGAGCAGCTTGCATAAGTAAAG